AGATTCGAGTGCAACGTCAAAGTGATATCCTCTATCTCAACAAAGGGTGCGACGTTACGCAGAGGGTAGGGGTTGTCCCGAGGCGTACAAAAGGCGCAGTGTCGTTCAAAAGCCGGTGTAAGGCGATGAGGTCGGACCACTTCAAAGCCGATAACCCCATTACGGATAGAGCCAACAATGCTTCCTGTGGCACATGAGGAATCAGTAGCAAGACTGATCTCTGAGGCACCACAGCGCCAAGCACCGCACTTGCAGGTGATCTCCGATAGTAAAATGTTGAAGGCCACCCTGAGGTTGCCGAAAATGGCACTTGGTGACACGCCGGTGACACTAGTCGTTCTCAAACGTCGATGCATCGTACGAGAGAGAGAACGCTTCTTCTTCTTCCCCGACTGGTTCAGCGACACCCGAACGTTCTGGCCATTGATCTGATAGAAGTCAGCCGGCGAACCGATAAGCTGGAGCACCATAGGGATGTGGAATTCGGGCACGACACACAGGCTGAGCCGTTGGTTTCCTGTTGATGCTGAATCCCGAAACTCGGCCGACCAAGAGATGCACACCGGAGGGTCCACAGTATCCCGAATGGCATCAGGGGAGCTCGGCAGATTGTGCACCAACAAGCGGAGTTGAACCGAGTTCACATGAGAAATTGAAGAACCAGCTCCCCATCTCATAGTAGGGTTGGTGAATGCAGCATCAAACTGGGCGTACACGGGCTTGTCCAGAATGCCCTCACCCATAGAGTACACCGCAGCATTCTCGATGAGGCCGGGCTTGAGGTCCTTCAAATACTTGAGCCCTTTCATAAAGGCATTTAGTTTGCCGATCAGGACCGAGTCGATATCCCACGAGTGAGCCTCGCTACCCTTACTAGAAGTGCTGCTAGACGAGGCTCCTTGCTCGAGACACCAAGGCTCTGTGAGCCAATGGGCCAGGATAGGATCTTGCGTGGGACCAAGAGCTGGCAAGACCAAGGCTGGTGACCCCGTAGCACCGTGGGTGTTGAAGACCAAGCGAGCCGAGATGGGGTCAGCCGTAAGGAGCTGTAGCGGCTCTAGCCCACGGACTGCCCAAGTGAAGCACATCCCAGAGAGGAACTCGACCGAGAGTACCATCCTCAAGGGCTCCGGTATGGGCCCTGGATCGGGCTCCTCCACGGCGTCAACACCGGCATAGTGCCATCACTACCACTCCGAGAGGCTCTCTTGGGCGAGGGCGGATGTAACCCCA